CTTAAAAGGGCCAGTCTTCTCTAATAAGTACTTTGAGGTTCCAAGGATCTATCAAGAGTACGTGGGTGCAAGTCTTACTTGATAGTGACAGCTTGGATAATTTGTTTATAAACCAAGATTGCTCAGTGTTTAAAATTGCTAGTTAAGCCCATACCTAATTTCCAATTATTAGTTGGGAATTACAATGTTCTTGTAGTTAAAGGGTTGATTGAGGAGCTAGAAATAACTTTCGATGATGCACATCTAGGACTTCGACTAGCTATTTTTCTTCGGTCTTTGGTGACTATCAAGGGCAGTAAACATGTTCAAGAGCACTTAGGCTAATGGGAGGGATTGAATAACACACAAACAGGATCACACTGCATTAGAAATTGCATTTTCATAATTCATGAGGACAAGATTATTCTTAATGGAGAAGGACATATAATGAAGTACAAAAGAGACAAATGAGGAGAATATGGGACAACTAGTCACAGTCACCTGACAGCTGATAAAATGATGAAAAAAAATAAAAAAACAGTCCACACTCCAAATAATCTACTTACGATTTAAATGAGTATGTGTGATGAGTAAAATAGCACAAAGGTCAAATTGGTTGTAAAGGGAAAAGAGAGAAAAAATTATTCTTCCTCTCTCGGTTGGTTCATTCATGTTTTTCTCTGTTTATCTTTGCTGCTCATTCTTGTTTTCCTCAGTTCATCTATGTTGCTCATTCTTATTTTCCTCAGATGTGCAGGTTTTCTTTGTGCAGATTAGAGAGGTTGCTAAACACGAGATCTAGATGTTTAATATTTGTTAGAAAAAAAAAATATCCATGCGAAAGTTTTTACATTGTAAAATTTGTTTTACTAATATCCAAACGAGAAATTCGGGACGGTTTCAATTTTTGAAGTTCAATTTCCTTAAATTTTAATTTCCATTAAATCCATAAATGACTCATCTAAACACGAATCTCTGGGGATACACACCACACCAGCTGAGTGTGTAAACTCAGTCTATGCCACTTCAAAGGAGGTGGAGAGTTCTTTCTCGCTCGAGTTGCTAGGGGCTAAAAATATACATGAACTCAGACCAAAGTTCATCTTAGATAGAATTCCAAGATCCTGCCACAGTCAAGTAACACTGACTGATTTTGGCATTCCATTCTTGGCAATATCAGATAATAGTGTAAATGGCACACTTGTCAGGGAACAAAATCCAGAACCATTCGATATATATGAAGTTGGATCCATCAGAAGTTTAAATCCCTCGTAACTCATTATTTGATGAATTAAACAAGCCTACCTGTGAAAAATATGTCTGATCGGTTTTTCGTTAGAAACAGATCGTTCAAATCATATATCATTGAAATTGTACAAAGAAATGTCATACAAACTTAAAACACTCTTCTTATAACTTATGATGATACTAGGGTTATAAAACTAATACTACTGGGGAAAATTTTCTAAAGATGCCTTTATAGGAAGCATACATATGCTTAAGCTCTTCCACTTTGCTTTTTAGTCCTGATGTCGCTTGTTGAGACTGCAGACCCAGAAACCTTGTTAACCTCGTACAACAATCCAGCCGAGAACAGGAAACTGCATTTGTGCAAATATGAAGACATCACCAACGAGTTCATATGAAAATATGAAAATGATGCATTTTAATGGTGTTTAAATACTTAAGAATGACAATACTTTGCTACACTAGCCATTATGTTGTTGAGTTTTGGATATGATTTCCTCTTTACAAGCCAGACCACGATAATGACAATACTTTGCTACACTAGGCCATCATTAATTGCTAATATATTCTTCGTAAGAATCCTTTTTGTTTCATTAAAAAAGGTGTACCCTCTGAAATAGAAACATCCTTATGATTTTTTGCAATTTGCAAGCATATATTAAGCAGCTAAAATTAATGCACACACTCAAGAAAGTTATAAAATATGAAAAGCGATTTTCTCGAAATATGTTAAATAGAACGTGCACATTTCTATTTAAGTAGTTGATCTATCTTTTCTTAATAAAAGAGTCATGCACCAATAAGTTGTTGAGGTCGTATGATTGACTAACTAGGCTTTAAGAAGGTTTGCCAGCAATATTATACTCAATTATCAGCAGTTTGATTATTCTAAAACAAGAGGTATGACTGGCTTTTGAATGTGTCCCCGCCTCATACTCTATTAAATACATCACATACTGCACCTCTCAGTGAGGTTCTCATTCATTCATAAGGCAAAAGAGGATTGGAGGAGCATACCATGTAGTGATGCAAACTCGGTGAACAGTGCTTGCAGCAATCAGAGCAACTGCTTCTGCTACTATGACTGAAAAATAAAAATTAACTATCTTCAATTTGCATAAACATAAAACGCAATATTGGAAGTTGTTTCTAGAGACACAAATCCTTAAAGGTGACCTAGAGAATAAAATTTGCAGTTATTGTTATTGCTAAAGACAAAATGTATATGAAAAATAATTTCGCCATTAACACACCAAATATAGATAGATTAATAGATAAAAAAACTCGGGATAAAAATTTAATAGTTTAAGATACTTGCGAAATTTTTTTATGGAAAAATCTAGTAATCATACAGTTTCTTTTTTTACATGTGTATGTACTCGAGCGAATAAACTTTTTTATACCGTCAAACTTACTATACTATATTATGAGACCAATAGTATGTAATACTGCAGATGTTCACAAAAAAGGTATCACAATTTATAATATGGTACTTGTCTGGGACAAAATTGTCTCTTATGACATCTTCGTTTCTTTATAAAAAATTGATATCTATCTTTAGCTCTCTGTAAATGCTGGTATAATCTCGTTTGCCTTCTATAAATATGGCAGAATAATATAGTCTGCATGTGTAAAACCGTCATGCAGAAAGCTTTCCACAAAACAATAGGCTTGGACTTCTTTTCATAATGAAAGAGCGAACGTATTATGGCAGAGAAAGGAAAGCATATTCATAAAAACTGGTGGAAACTAATAGTACTAATGCATAAAAGAGTGTACACTTAAGTCACTAACAAATAAGTGCTTTAATCTTAAGTAGTATGCCTCAATGTTCAACATCACAACATTGGAAGCTACAAACAGTATTCATTCTGTTAAATTGATTTTAAATTCCTTTACTATAAAATGATACCATTTATCATATTCAAATTTCAAAATTAAATGTGTACTTACCAGCACCCCAACCAGTTCTTGCACCAATTGTTTCCTGCAAATTTCCAATGAACTGGAAACACAAATATAAGTACCTTAAATTACCTTGAAAGATTTGTCCTCTATGGAATTATTGGAAGAATAATGAGTAGAAACTAATTAAGAGAAACTACACGGATAAATATAAAAATTCACATCTTTCTCATTAAAATAGGTCACCTTGCTTTTCACAAATTAGAAGGATTGTATAAAACCAGGGAAGTATATGTGTGTGTGTGTACACATATATGAATTATAATGTATGTTCAAATAATAGTATCGAAAGGGATGCAATGGGAAAGGATACGTGATAAACATTCTTTATTTTTTGATGTCACGAATAACTATTAATTTTCATTCCTTCTACCATATGATATTATTATTCAGAAAATAACATAATATTATCGGCATATAAAACTTTGAAGACGAGAAAATGTGCACAGATTATGACCGAAGAGAAAGAAATCAAGAAACGGATTCAGAACTCACAGTTAGGAGCACAAGAAATAGGAGGGAGCTGATGAATCCTCCGAGTATGGTGAACAGTTCTGATGATGCTAGTTTCCCACGGTACATTTCTTGAAGTGAGAGAATGACTGTGAAAAGAAGAAAGGAATACAGCATGGAACTCCCAGATCCCGCCATGGCCTTCTCATTGCAAGTTAAGCAACAACGAACACAGAAACAATTGTGAGAATAGCACGAAAAAAAATCACTATCACCTGTCACTCAGTTGCAAACGGAAATAGCGCATAAGTATATAAACTACCATATACCAAAATTAAAACAAAGACTTGCCATGTGTCTAGCAGCCACATATCTCTAGAGCTACAAGTATAATCCACTAAAACATACTCTACTTAAATTTAGTTAAATGTTAACTTTAAGTCAAATGAATCCATGACAGAACATTCTTTTCAACACTATACGAGACAAGTCAAGCTCAATTAGTTTTAAACGATTAAACCACCAAATTTATTTTCAAAGTATTACCTTTACCTTTGATCCTTTCTCTTAAGCACTCCTTAAAGTGTAAATAACTACTTTAGTTCAGGAAGTAAGAAAAATCATGATAAGTAGTATCCTAAATACTAAAAAAGCCTAAAATTGATTCTCAAATTCTATTATAAATCACCTTAGGACTAAAATATTACTTTAGAAACCACTTATGCGAGAGGATGATAGTTGAAGGACGAAATTGGCAGTTTATAAACTTTAAAACATGCAGCATAAGCACACTCTCTAAGCCGAAAGTAAACAAAGAAGCCACTGTGTTAAAGAAGAGTCATCTATGATACGAAGAATGCTACTCAACAACCACGCAAAGCATACAGAAACCTGAATGCCAGATTTCGCTTACAAGCAGCTGAAGCTACGAAGTTCGCGAACAACAAAAGTCAATAACCTAAGTTCAACGGATCTAACAATGTTATAAAGGCACACCGATCCCAAATGTACAATAACTTCCCAAAAACCCTAACTCCGAGCTACGTAAGCCGAGTTTCATCAAATCCTAACAAAAATTCGCCATTCAAACAAGCAGAACAGAAGCATCAAGGAATTAAAGATCTAACCAATCCACTTAATTCCCTCTACGTCTCACATTTTTCACACAAAATCAAAAAGGGAATGACAGAAGCGAAGACGAAGAGCACACCTCAGATCGGAAGCAGCGGTTTCAGTTCAGATCTCCAGCAACACGAGATCGTCGTTTTAATGAACGCACGAGATAAATACTTGAGGGCAATTTAGGAATTGGCTCCTATATAATTCAGCCAGTGGTTTTTAATAGCTATTTTTTCCACAAAAATAATATTTAAGAGTTTTTTTAGATATTAATTTTTCCCCAAGAGTCAGGTCAGCAGGGTAACGTACAACTGAAGTTTGTGATAAATGCGTCATAATAGACGTAAAAAACAAAAACAGAACCCATATAACAAACGACACCGTTTTAAAATAATTAGTTTCTGGTGTTGTAATTAAGTTACTAACTTCGCTTACCACCGCCGGCAATGGAGCTGCCGGAGTGCCCGGTGTGTCTTCAATCCTTCGACGACCGCGACGCAATTCCTCGGGTCTTGTCATGTGGACACTCCGTTTGCGAAGCTTGTCTCGCGGAGCTTCCGCAACGGTACCCGAATACTATTCGGTGCCCCGCTTGCACCCAACTCGTGAAGTATCCTTCTCAACAAGGTCCTTCTTCTCTTCCCAAAAACATCGACCTCCTCAGAATCTCGCTCCAACACTCCCCTTCTTCTTCTAATCATTCCCACAAACACAACCAACGGTCCACCGTCAATTCTTGTAACGATCACTCTTCGTTCTGGTCCCCTGAGTTCTATGATGTATGGAAGAATTGGATTCTTCCGCTCGACGCTGTTTTAACTGATGACCATTGTCTTGGTCGGTTCAGTTCGTCCAAGGGTAGGGTTTGTTTCGGAGTTAACCGATGCGTGAGTCTCGCTCCGATTGCTTGTTTCTCTCCTAGGGATGACTCTAAGTTTAGGTTTAGCTATGTTGCATGGGTGATTAAGTGTTTGGAGGGGATGAGCGAGGCTGCGAGAGAGGAGTTAGCATGGATTCTTGAAGCTTCCGTGAGACAGAGGAGGGTGTGTTGGGTTTTTGGGTTGTGGAGTGAAGGGGTGGAGGGACCTCTGTATATGGTGTGTGAGAGGCAAAGTGGTAATCTTTTAGACAAGTTTGGTGAATTGGGAAATGGGTTTGTTGGTGGGAATGAGGGTGGTTTGGAGTTGGACAGTGGTGGGATTTTTAATTTTTTAATGATTGGAAGGGGTATATGTGAAGCTGTGCTTTCTTTGCATTTGGAAGGTTTAGTTGCTGGTTGTTTGGGGCTTTCTTGTTTCTCTTTTGATGAGCTCGGTGGGATTTGTGTTGATTTGAATGAGGTATTGGGGATGGGAAGGCGGTTGCATGCTGTTTCCGGTAAACATGAGAAAGAAGCAATGTCTAAAGATTGCTTGGAAAATGAGATTTTTGTAAGTCCTGAGGTTTTGTATGAGTTGTTGCACATGAGGAGATCTGCTCGAGATAGTGGCCATTCGAGATATCCAATTGGGTATGGCTCAGATGTATGGTCATTGGCCCGTGTACTGCTATGGCTTCTTATTGGAAATGTGCTGCCTCGGAATACCTTGGAAATGAATGAAGAGAGTGATGGTGATAGCACAGCTAGTTATGTGTGTTGGGTGGAGAAAGTTTGTTCTGTGTTGGAAGACAAACTAGGCTCTGAGTATCTGTCACTGGGGAAGATTCTTTGCAAATGTCTGGACGTCAATCCAGTAAACCGTCCAGATGTGGTAGATGTAAGGAACTGCATTCAGGATATGTTAGTCAAACCTCAATTTGAATTTCTGGGCAACTTAGAGGTCACAGTAAGTAAGGACAGTACAGGTCGCTGTTTGGTTCTAGGGGAGCTATCTCTGTTGCCTAAGGAATGGTCTGACGAACCAAGCGAGCATGAGTTGCGGGAGAAACAAATTGATGGTCATCCAAATTTTGTTCAAGATGGCCAAGACAAGTCTGACGAGTACTCTGCTGCTGGTTTATCTGGGGGCTTAACTGAACTCAAAGATCTGCGAAGCCATCTTGATTGTGTCAGTGGATTGGCTGTTGGAGGTCTGAATTCTAAGTTTATGTTCCTACTAATCATATCTCGTGCTACCGTTCTTTGAATGTTTGGGTGACAATATCCTCAAGACTAGTTATGGGTGATAAATAAGTTATCTGATAATTGACACTTGGCATGGGTTTCATTGTTTGAAGGCCAGTTGAATGTGAGGCTTTTCAATTGATTTGGTCATAGTTTCTCATGCTTTCTGTGCATTGCATTAAAATAGTTTGAAACCACATGGTTTAATGAAACTTATAAACTAAGCTCTTATTCAGTATCTGGATTTAGGCCGCTTCATCTATGCAATTATACATTTCATTGTACGTTTCTGATCCGTTAGAAGATGTGGTGATTATGCAATGCAGAACTATATTTCGTTCTAAATGAGTATTTGTTTAGTTTTGCAGGCGGGTATTTATTCAGCTCCTCATTTGACAAAACTGTTCGCGTATGGTCCTTGCAGGTACCAATTTTAAAACAAAATGATGTGTCACCATTCTAGTGGGCACATTCCAAATAGCACGATCTCATTTATAATCTTGACGAGGATCCCTTCCTTGTTGTTTCAGTAAATGCAACAGAATTAGAAATATGTTTTGATATTTTCTGATAAATAGAGTTCTTCAGGGTTCTTTCCCTCCTGTGACTCCATTAGTGGATACTTTCTGATAAATATTTAGTCAGAATATTAATAGCTAAATAAATAAGAGAAGAGAGAGCAAAATGGTTGGGATATTCTTTTTTTTTTCACTTGTTATTTGCTGGCTTCAAAAACTAAAACTTGCATTCACAGCCTAACTACGTAGGTCTGCTCAAGTGGAATTTCAATATTAGAATTCTAACTTATAAGAGAAATTGCTTCTGCAATACTTCCTTCAGATGCTCGTAGACTCTTCCTACTTTGTGCTATTTAAAATTGTTGCATTCTTTGTCTTACATGGATAGATAAAAAAAACCATCTTGGATGCTAGATTGTCATGCAACATCAAAGCATGATTTATGATGATTACAAAGTTTGAAGGGCTGGGATATTTTAATATAGATTACTGTGGTTGTTTTGTACAAGCTGTTTCACGGACTCTCAGATATAATGAGATTTTCTCATTTACTATAAATTTATGTAGGACCTTTCTCATTTACACACATTTAGAGGTCATGAGAATAAAGTCATGGCTCTAGTTTATCTAGATGAAGAAGAACCATTGTGCATAAGTGGTGACAGTGGAGGGGGCATATTTATTTGGGGAATTGCTGCCCCTCTTAGGCAAGATCCCTTAAGGAAATGGAATGAGAACAAGGATTGGCGTTTTAGTGGTATACACTCCTTGGCTGTTTCCAAAAATCATTCTATTTACACTGGAAGCGGAGATAGAACAATCAAAGCTTGGTCATTAAAGGTTAGTCTTTAACTTTCTTTGATTACTTGTTTGCTGCCAAAAATAGAAACTTCATTGTAAATGCGTTCTTTGGGTTTCTATAACATTTCCCAGGATGAAACTTTGATATGCACAATGACTGGTCATAGATCCGTAGTTTCCACACTTGCTGTTTGTGATGAGGTTCTTTACAGTGGTAGTTGGGATGGTACAGTTCGGTTGTGGAGTCTAAATGACCACTGTCCATTGACAGTTCTGGGGGAAGATACGCTTGCAGATATGAGGTCTATCATGGCTATTACTGTAGATAGGCATTTGCTTGTTGCAGCACATGAGAATGGATGCATAAAGGTTTCTTATTTTTCCATATTTTTTGCCTTTTGAAGATTAATGATGAATTTTGTAGCCCACTTGAAGTCAAATATGGACTTGACGCACACAATTAACTCCAGTCAATATTGTTTAACATCTCTTTTATCATTTGTTTGTTTAGGTCTGGAGGAATGATGTGTTCATGAATTCCAAAACATTGCATAATGGGTCCATTATTGCAATGAGTATGCAGGGAAAATGTCTTTATACAGGAGGTTGGGACAAAAATGTTAATATACAGGTAGAAATGCAAAATCTTGTGCTCTGTCTACGAAATTACAATGCAATTTGCTCAGCTTATGATATTTTATTTAATATTATTTATTCAAATAGCATAGAAATTCATTATAGAAGTTAGTGAATTGTAGGAATTATCTGGAGACGAGTTTGAACTGGATGTCAAACCATATGGATCCATTCCACACAGTTCTGTTGTTACAGCTATATTATACAGCCAGGGAAAACTGTACGTCGGATATGCTGACAAGTCTATTAAGGTATTTATTCACTTCATCCAATTATTTTAAATTTTTAAATTCAGGCTCGACGACGTGTATTTAAGAGAGTTAATTTAAGTGTTGCTTTAATAAAATATTTGATATAAAAGAAGTCACACCTCACAGCCCCTAAATTTTGTTCATTTTAATTACACATTTCCCCTTGCACACTTGTTTATTTGTCTATCTAAATGGAAAAGAGAGAATAATTCAGCCTGGAGCCATTTAGAGATTGCTCTTTTCTCCCCACTCAATAGAAGAGAGTGCTTATTCTAAACCATGCCAATTGAATTCTATAGGCAGATATGATCAACCGGGAAATATTGTCCTTTCACTCTCAATTATTTGGCAACATGACTTCTTATTGTGTTCTGAAAGGAAAGTCAATGTCTGACAAACATCTATGGAGTGCAAGACACTACCATCTGATATAATGGTTGACTTGTTATCACTGCATTTCTGTCTTTTTATTATGCTTGTGAATTTTTAACACTCAACGCCTATTGTTGATTTGGTTCCTCCAGGTTTATCAGTAAATAGTAAGAGTTAATTGGGTGCATCTGCTCAACTCCTGGTTTGACTGCTCAAGTTGCAGCCATTTCTTTTTCTTAAATTATGCATCATCCTTGTGATGATAGGTTTTCGGGTGACATTTTCGACACAGATGCAGATAGTGTGATCCAAGTGATACTGAAAGGTGTTCTGTACATATTATAAACTATTTCTTTATCGGGCTTGATTCTTAAGGTTTGTATATAACTTGAAAATGTTGCAGTCTATACTTAATGTAATATATACCATAGTAAGAAAATTAGTTCAGATTCAGGACACATGACAAGTTTCAGTGCAGATTTTTGCACCAATTAGCTCTACTTTTTCTTTTTCCTTTTTTGGTACAAAATGATTTCGTCTTGTTGGTTTTTATAAATGTTTTTAGAACTAAACCTGTCAAACTACTGAATCCAGATTTAAATTTTCAACTGAAGTCGAACCAGATCCACTACTATTAATAAAAAAATAATAATAATTAAATAATATTAAAAATTATAACGTCATAATTATGATACTGGAAAATTAAAATAAAACATAATTTATAAGTTTTAACATTTAAAATAATATAAAAATTAAAATAAATATTTTTCGTACTTAGATTAAAATTTTAATAATATTTATCATATAATATACGTAGAATAAGATAAAACAACATTCCAGATAATATTTTCTGAAAAATAAAGAATTCTCAGAATAATATTTATCTCAATCATTGTAAAGGTAGATTTAATGAAGGAAGCAATTTTCAATAAAAATTTTACATATTACATATAATCATTATCTCATTTTGCAACTGTAGCAATGTACAAATAACGGAAACTCTAACTAACACAATCAAGAGGATGCAAAGGAAGTTTCTGTGGGGTTGGATCGGAAGGAAGATGTATAGCTTAGGTTAGTTGGAAAAAGTGTGCAAACAGAAAAAGTGTAGGGGCTGAGATTCAAGGATATAAAGGTGTTTTAATAAGGTTCTATTAGAAAAATGGAAGTGGAGTTTGATGACAAATGAGCAAGGGTTGTGGAAGGAGGTGGTGGAATCAACATATGAACATTGGAGAAAACAAAATAAGAGATCTAAAAACAAAAAATAACCTTGGCAGATGAGGAATTTTTCAATGAAATATGGGAGATGACAGTGATATCAAATGCCATTCATTTCACATGGAGATTGGGTCTAGATAGAGTTGCAATAAAAAATAACCTTGGCAGAAGACAAATCAGTGTGGAAAATCCCTGTGTTGTAATGTGAGGGGAGCTGTCCAACAGTCAGTCTATGAAATGCTTACAATAGATGGATAAAGGGGCAGATAGTGAATCTAAACAGTATAAGAAATATTTGTTTACAGCATAACTTTTGTAGTTTGAGCAAAAAGGGAAACTTAGCTTGGAAGAGTATGTGCGCACAACCATTATTTGTAGTGGGTGATATCAAATGAATGATGTGATTTTTATAAATGGAAAGCCAAATGCTGAGAAGATGTTTGTAGTGACTAAAGAACAAGTTGAGGAATATCAATTTCACATACTTGAATTGGTGCTTTTTACAGACTCAAATAATTTTGTAAGGAAGTTTATAAAACTGTTATGACCAAAAACAATATGACAACAACTTAAAGTAGGGAAGCTTGATGAGAAACGAGACCAATGAAGATACGAGAAGAGACACAATACGATATGCTGAAGTATGGGATATCAAAAAGGGGGAAATATGACTTTTATGTACAAAACACTGCAAAATTAAATATAGGTGATTTTCATAGTGATGTGTAAACATATTGGATATGCAAAACCGTATAGGAAGGTTGGTAGAAACATATTTTGATAGGAAATACAATTGTAATTTAAGAGAGGCACGCTTATACCATTGATAACAACATTCACTGTTTATAATTGACCATGTTAATTGACTTAAAAATCAGACGTATAATGTAAGTAAATTAAACCTGTTACTTTCCTTTCTTTTCTTTTATTTCAAACTAAATATAAAACATAAAACTGTTTACATTTTTCACTCCTATTCGAAACATAGAATATTATTAAGTGTCCAAAGACTTTACGATATTAAAAATTGTGAATGGGTATTCATCGAGTTTTGATACAATTATCATCCTCGTAGGAACATTTTCCACAATAGAAATTTACAAAGAATATAATAAAAAGTAAATTATAAGGACAAAAAGACATTTAAAATTAAACTGATTTTATAATTCAAATGCCAAAGCGTTTGTTTCTCCCTCACCGGAGTCCTCTCGGGCCGTAATAAACACCACAGAAGAAAGCCATCGTATGCTAAGCTCATTTGCATATGCGCTAATCCGTTGAAGTTGCCAACACACCTTTATGGCAGCGCTCTCGTATCCACCTTTCTTCGCCCTTCAGAGAATCACTTCTACCGATGCCAACGCCAACTCTTTCTTCATTCGTTCGCGCCCTTTTGTTCCGCCCTGGCCTCGCCTTCGACGACGTCGTTGCGCACCCGCTCTCGTCGCCGTTGCCTCCGTCAAGGTGCGTTTCAGCTATGCGCCCGCTACTTGTTCGACGAATTGCCTTAGTCACTTGTCACATCACTTTCTTGCTTGCAGGGAAATCTCGGTCGTGTTCAAAAGCGTTTCACTGACTTCACGAGCTTGAACTATTGGGTTGTTAGCGACTACTATCGTCTCGTGAACTCCGTCAACGCCTTCGAGCCTCAGATTAAGGCGCTCTCCGATGAACAGCTGGCCGCGAAGACCTCCGAGTTTCGCCGCCGGCTCGCGCGAGGGGCTACGCTTGCTGACATTCAAGCTGGTTCACTACTCTTTTATGCTGTTGCGTCATTGCTGGATTTGTCTCTGAACTGTGTTTATGATTGAATCGTAATTAATGTTTCAGAGGCGTTCGCTGTTGTTCGTGAAGCTGCTTGGAGAAAACTTAGAATGCGTCATTTCGATGTTCAGGTCTCATTCTATCATTGACTTGCATGTGTATATCTCTTGTATTGTGCTTTTTTGCATGTCACTGAAGGATGAGTTTTGTTGATGTTAGATTATTGGTGGGGCAGTGCTGCATGATGGGTCCATTGCTGAGATGAAAACCGGGGAGGGTAAAACCTTGGTTTCCACACTAGCTGCTTATCTAAATGCCCTGACCTCTGAGGGTGTTCATGGTATGTGTTACTGCCAACACTCTAGAAGCTTGAATAGCCAGGGGAGTTTCTTCAGGTGCCAGCACTTGTCTTTTCGAAAATAAATTTCTCTAACTTTTGATTTCTTTGCAGTGGTAACTGTTAACGATTATTTAGCTCAGCGTGACGCTGAATGGATGGGACGCGTTCATCGTTTCTTAGGTCTATCTGTCGGTCTTATTCAGGTAATTTTTCTCTGCAGGTGGTAAAATTGGTTTTCATCAGCTATGTGTTTGATGATGAGATGATAAGAGCACATGTTTAAGGATATAACGTACGAATGGGCTGGGTCTAGTAAAGAAGTTTTTATTAATTAATTTGTGAACGCACTGCACAACCTTCTTTTAACTTGGTTATCTGATGTTTGCATGCACAGAGAGGAATGAATGCTGAAGAACGAAGAATCAACTACAGATGTGATATAACATATACCAATAATTCGGTAATTACACCTATCAGTTACTTATACTGTTTCCTTTTAGCTGTACATTTATATTTTTACTTATGTTATTTTCTTTTCTTCCTTTTTGTCCTTTTCTTACTTTAGGAGCTTGGATTTGATTACCTGCGAGATAATCTGGCTGGAAACCGTGACCAGCTTGTAATGAGATGGTAGTGTGTATTACTTGGGTAGAACTAAGTTATTTTCTTCTTTTTCTTTTGGTTTTAAATATGTTTGGTTACGAGTGACTCTTGTACAAGAAAACAGGCCAAAGCCCTTTCATTTTGGAATTGTTGATGAAGTGGATTCTGTCTTGATAGACGAGGGAAGAAATCCTTTGTTAATCAGTGGTGAGGTAGGCTTAACATTAATTTTTAATTTTGCTTCTTGTGGTTCGCTAAATCATTATCATCCCCTTCTTTCATACCCAGGTTAGCGGTATTAGAAAGAATGTTTCAACTGCTCAAGCTCAATGAAAGATGACTGCTTCTCCTTCTTTATTGCAGGCTAGTAAAGATGCTGCACGATTCCCTGTTGCTGCAAAAGTAGCTGATCTGCTTAAACAGGGCACTGTGCGTACATTCTCTTGCACTTCATCATGTCATTTACTCTGTTTTCCTCCCTTTTTCCATTCTGCTCAGTTTATCTAGATAGTATTATACACTGATTTTTTTTTTTTTCATTAACAGCATTACAAAGTGGAGCTTAAAGATAATTCTGTGGAGTTGACCGAGGAAGGAATTGCTCTTGCCGAAATGGCTTTAGAAACTAATGACCTTTGGGATGAAAATGATCCCTGGGCAAGGTGAGTATTCTTATACTCTAATAATTTGTTGCTCATTTAACATTGGTTGGTGTTTACTTGTTTTGTAATCCCAATGGTAGTTTGGAAAAAAGTAGGCTAGCATAATGTCAGCATATCTTATTCATTTTTTCCATTATGATCTCTCTTTTTGATGAATTATATAACATTAACATCACAATCTGCTAAACAATAGAGTACAAGTTAAAATTTTTTCTTTTCTTTTTTAATGAAAAAAGAATAAATTTATTCAGTAAAAAATAATAATATTAAAAAGGGATTGTCCTCCTTAAAAAAGAGAAAATAAAATTAAAACAAAAGCATGACAAATTAGACACTAATATAGTAAAACCTCCTGATCCCTTGACATATATGTAAATGACACCCCTGTGAAAAAAGATCACGTGCTTTATATTTTTCTGTGTTTACAACTTATATTTGTAATCATGGTTTTTTGAGTGCATACACTTTCTCAGAGATTTAGATTAGTTTATCATAATCATAATTGTTATATTTATTTGATAGTGGGTGCTTTATATGAAGTTTCTGGCTAACATGTTGGAATTTGAAATTCCTGTCCAATCAGTTAAATTACATTTGACTAGTAGGAGTTGAGTTACTGCAGATTTGTGATTAATGCTATAAAAGCTAAAGAATTCTATCGTCGAGATGTGCAATACATTGTTAGAGATGGAAAGGCTTTGATTATCAATGAGGTAATACTTTCAAGGTTTCTTTATGCTTTTAATATTATGCAACTTTTTTTTACCTATGAAAGCAAACACTTGCAACAAAACATGACACAGGAACACACAAAATTTGATCTATTGTATCCTAGGGCACAACTTAGATACACAACATGAGTAACATGACTTTTTGTTGGGCATACCTGTTGTTGTTCATGCAAGGTTAATGGAATAATGAAGTTACTTTTCCTCCTTGATTCGGAATTTAGTAGATTTTTACATTTTAAAATTGGATATTTATAGGACAAACATCAGTTGTATATTGTGATTCTTGGCCACATGTTAGTTCCTTTGTTTTCTAAAATTCATCGTAGGAGAAACTCTTGTAGCCACAATAAGGTACTCTGCTTTTAACGATTCAGAGAGGGGGTTCAATGACAGTAATCAATTAATTGTAGAGAAAAATATACTGATTAACATCCTAGAGGATATTTAGAAAAAAAAAGAGGTTAAACTGAATATATACATACAATTAGTATATTTTGTTTCACAAGCTTGTAGTATTTTTTTGTACTCTGAAATCTTGGTTACTTAGTCCATTTTTGTTTTTTGAATTCACTAGCAGTATGTACCTTTGATTTTACAAATTATGCATTGTCTATAGAAATGTGAACAGACTTGATGTTTTAGTGCATATACTTGGCATGCATTCACTTATATTAGATATGTTGATTTCAAACAAATGGAGTGGAAACTGGGTTAACCTAAGGGTCTGTTTAGAATGGTTACAAACTGTACTAGGGGCTACTTATTGTCCGCCCTTGCCTAATGTGCACACATAAAATCTCCCTTCTGTTATGCTGGAAACATGTGTAGCCTAGTTAGATGTGATATTTAGCTTCTGATTCATGAAATTGTTTCGCATGATAGTTGGATGTTATTTAAGATAACACACTTTGCTTTGGCCTTATTACAGGACAACACTTATGTTATTTAGGACAGTGGAAAGTTTACAATATGAATATTGTAGGTTATTTTTTTTGTGGGCCAGGGGTAAGATGTCTCATTGACTATTGATACAGCAAAAAGTAATGTTAGCAAGTGACAGCATCCCTCACCTTATAAATTAGTTTTTGGGATTGAATTAGGTTTAAATCAAAACTCTATAATATATCTTATTCTAGTGGTTTTTATTCGTATACTCCCACATGTCAAAACATTTAAAGTTCATGTTTTTGAGATGTTAAATTTTTGGAGTAAGGAGAATGTGTTAAGAGATCTGATAAGCATCCAAGTATTTGAGAAACCTACCAGGGGGAAGAACTTAAATACTTCACTGAGTATTTTATACTACTTGATGTGAAACTTACGCATTCCATAATTCCCAAGTCCTTATCAAGATCTCACATCAATTAGTCATATGGAAAAAAGTAATGTATGTAAGTGGAGGACAACTGTTGCCTCATGAGCATTTGAATGGATTTATGTCTACGCCCAAATTCTAAGACGTAGAAAGATGAGAATAAATTGTTATTGAGGCTGTTTGTGGGCTAAGCAGGTGATTTTGAAGGCAATAGAATGGGTTTAAAGAGGGTATTTTTTATGCTGAGAAATGGTACCTGCAATTTGGGTTTGCGGTTTGTAGACTATAAGGGTGGAGACAAGAATCTATCTTTTTGATAGAATACATTTCTGATGCTGTCTGCTATCTTCATATTTGGGCAGATTACAAAATTATAGTACTAGAGAATGAAGTAAATAAATAATACAGTTAAGAATTAGCAACCTTGGCCTCACACTCACATAATGAAGAAGTGAGTAATTCAATCCCATTGATGTAATTTCATAATATTATAAATTTTAGGGTAAAATGTGTTTTTAGTCCTTGTAAATAAAACTAAATTTGGTTTTATCACTTTTATTCATTTTTTGTTGGCTTTAGTCTTACAAATTTAAAATGCTTGAAGATGTACGCACTCCCTGTCATTACTTGCTATTGATATGACATGCATTTAACTTGCCACCTCAGTGTTTGTTGACATTATGTATCTAGATGCTTGTAATGTCACTACTAAATAATGTTGACATTATGTGTCTAGATGCTTGTAATGTCACTACTAAATAATGATAAGCAGAATTTGTAAAATTAAATTTATGAGGATTAAACCAACGAAAAATATTGGAAGGTATAACTAAATTTAATCATGTTATAATTATAGGCATGTGGAACATATCCTATATACTTAATATAATCTAGATTGTACATGCACTACTAGAAACATTTTTCTTTATTTTCCTATTATATCTTTATTATTAGAGAATCTCTCTATTTATTGTATTGACTTAGTTTTCTCAATATAAATAAAACGTATGTGCTGTCATAGAAATGTAAGATTTCAGCTCACTCTCTTTCCTATGGTTTACCAAGTCGTATTTAAAAGGAATAAAAATATATTTAAGCCCAAGTTTATGTTTCATTATTCTTTGTAAATTGGATACAACACTTAGCAAAATTAAAACTCATGTACATTTGTCTAAATCTTAAGTTTAAAAACTAGTGAAATACATGATCAACGACTTTTCCTAGAGCTTGTACACCTTACTTGATTTGTACGATTTCTCAAACCTGTTGTATTGTTACTATTTGATAAAACTGGAGGATGTTTGGAAAACCCTACCCAATATAAATGCAAGTGTTTGTTTTACACAGACTGAAATATGATAGCTTATATTCTACATTGTAATACAGGGTTGTTCAAAACAGCTCAAGATTGAGCACATTAAACATATGCATTTGCTTAATACTTCAACAGTAAATATGCATGGCTGAGATATTTTGCAAGGACCAACTATCCCAAAACGATTTTTGTTGGTGATGCATTGAATTAACTTTCTTTAGTATAATGTCTAACATACTCCCTCTTGCAAGAGCTCTTTCGACCTGAAGTCTGGACTTCTGACAAGCTGACTTTATCTTGTGCTGAATTTAATTTAATTATGAAGAATAGTGGTGCAAAAAATGAATTTATTAACAATTTGGTCATTAGAGGCTTTGGTGCTATAATGAGGACTAATTTTCACATAAGTTATCGGGTTGAACCCAATACACAGGTTTATATCTTGAACATTATTGTTTCTTGTATTTCTAGTAAAAGCGTTAATCTTTTGTTTTCATTTAATAATTAAACAGATAATTTTTCATTTTCTTTTTGCTTGCTATTAGTTTTCTTAATAATATGATGAAACAAATCCCGAAAATATTTCAGCTGACAGGTAGAGTTGAAGAGAAAAGGAGATGGTCTGAAGGGATTCACCAGGCTGTGGAGGCAAAGGAAGGTTTGAAGATTCAGGTATATATATCGGTTCTTTGATTTGTTTTTCGTATCATGACACTTCTCATCATAATTAATTGATTCTAACGTTCAAAGGTTTAAACTTGCACAGGCAGATTCTGTTGTTGTGGCACAGATCACATATCAGTCATTATTCAAGCTCTATCCGAAGTTGTCAGGAATGACTGGGACTGCCAAAACAGAAGTAAAAATTTATACAGTTCTGACATTGTATTCAAGTTTAACTGTTGCAATTTGTGCTTTGTATCAGTTCATGATTTTGGTATATATCGTTGCAGGAGAAAGAGTTCTTAAAAATGTTTAGGATGCCAGTCATTGAAGTACCCACAAATCTTCCTAATATTAGAAAAGATTTACCAATTCAAGCTTTTGCTGTATGCCATTTAATAGTTTCTTTAGCATCTGTTGTTTCAATACAATCATTTTTCCATGACAAAAATCCTAATTTTATTAAGTGTATGATTTTTCTATTAATAAATTATTCAAGACTGCTCGTGGGAAATGGGAGCAAGTTCGCCGAGAAGTTGAATATATGTTTGGACAAGGTCGGCCTGTCTTAGTTGGAACAACTAGGTAAGTATTATGATTATTATGATGGGTGCTGTTTATCACTGGACATGTTTTGCATTCTTTTAAGAACAAATGATAATTGCAATATTTCTTTCTTAGCCTAATGCTCTGAATTCTGAAACACATGATAGACACTATTTAACAAGAAAGAACTCATACGTGCTTTCCATTTCTTCAGGGTCTTAGACGAACTGAACTGAGTAAAACTAGAGAGAAGAATTTGAACATTGAATTGAATATTTTTATTATCTATCATGCTTCTGAAACGTAAATACAAGATGTATTTATAGGCATTGCTTACTGACAACTTTACAAGAACTGACATTTGTGCAAACTAGCTCACAAAGAAGCCTACAGCTGTACAAGAGACTTACTAGCTGTACAAGAGACTTACTAGTTGTACAAAAGAACTTATAAGAAATACGTATACAAACTAACTTGTTTCTACTAACACAGGTTTTGGATAGAGCTGTCAAAATGGGTCACAATCCGCGAGCCAACTCGGCCCACCACGGGTTTGAGTCAGGTTGTGTTAGAAATAATTGTATTTTTTTTATGCGGGTCAGATTTCAACCCGGTTCGTTTAAACTCGGCTCATGCGGGTTGAACCCCTGATGGGCCGGGTTGGCCCACCAACCCACCTACCTAATTTTATTTTATTAAAATTTAATTTTAATTTTATAAAAAAATATTTATTATTTTGTTTTTGATTGAAAAAATTATTTAAGTTCCTTATTTTCAAAATTAATTAAACATTCATGTTGGGAGTGAAATTTGTTTAGATTTGTATTATAGAAAGTTTGTAATTTTTTTTTATTTAAAAAAATTGTAATTAAATAAGCCAGTGAACCAACCCGTTTACCCACCAACCCGTGGTGGGTCGGACCGGGTTCGAATTTTTCTGGCTCGCTAATAAATGAGTCGGGTTGGGTTAGCTCACTAAGTGACCAACCCGTGGTGGGCCGGGTGACCCGTTTTGACAGCTCTAGTTTTGAACACTTATATTACTACTTGAACTTGTCATGTCTTTTTGTACCATTTAAAATGGATATTTTGTTTTACATCAAATTTTTGCTTCCTTAGCTGTCTTGAAATTGCTTTTATAAACAGATAATTAGGAATTATGGTCTGTTTAATGTTGACTGTTACAAATTGCCCATTAACTTTATGTTTCTAGTGTCCAAATTGTTAAGAAAAATCATTGAGTAAACCTTAAATGCTTCTCTGAGATTTTGTTTTTATTATGGCCTTATTATTGATGATTAATCCATGTTGCCAACCCAATTTACTGGGATAAAACTTGGTTGTTAGTGTTATAGTGTGTCTATATCTTATTATTTGTTGTTCAACATTGTGCAGGTTAAAAGTTATATTTATATTTACACGGTCTTGATATTGAATAGAAAATTGATCAATTGAAAAAAAAAATTGAATTTTTAAATTATCAATAATGGCACAATTTTTTCAAGAAGTTATCTCTTTATTAGAGATATAAACTATTATTAGGTCTGTTGCTGACAGCTTCAGCTTTAAGAGAGTGTAGTTGTTGAAATGGGAAAAATTCTGCTGACAAATTAAGTTTTTGTACATGCCTGGGACCAAAATTGCTTTTTGGTTGAGAGGAGGCAAGCCAAAGAGGGCTGTGTCGATGTGTCTACTGTTTCTATACATAATGGGGATTTGATTATTGACAACCATCTTCTCTCTGTGTTGCATTATTATTGAAGGAATGGAATTTAATTTGCTTAGGTTTTGATGATTATGTCTCGGCATTAGTGTATCTCTTTTCAGTGGTATAGTTTTAAATCTTGCTCCAGTTTATCTTTGTTTAAATTAAGCTACCTTTTCCCTTCCTCGTTATACTTATGTTGTCATTGTCAAATATTTACATTGGATTCTTTACTTATCTGGGCTATATATTACAAATCTATGCACATAAGCTTTTCTGTTTTAAGCAGTCAATAGTCTTGCAACTTTGTAGAATGATTATTTTTCCTTCTTTTTTCATATGAAGTGTAGAAAATTCGGAACTTTTGTCTGGTATGCTTTGGGAATGGAATATTCCTCACAATGTTCTGAATGCTAGGCCCAAGGTTTGTGAAATTATAGGTTGTTGGTATCTTCAAAAGCATATACTGTCTTTTTATTTGTATGACTTAGTGTTTTATTTTTAAAGATTTTCCTACCTCACTAGCCCCCTTCCGCCTTATTTAATACAGTATGCTGCAAAAGAAGCAGAAGTTGTTGCACAGGCGGGACGGAAACATGCCATTACCCTCTCTACAAATATGGCCGGCAGGGGCACAGATATAATCCTTGGAGGAAATCCAAAGGTAGGTTTGCCCATAGGTTTGTTTATTTGTGGCTAGGTTCTGAGAACAATATGAAACCTAGCATACTTTGTCTAAGACTGCCAAAATGACCTAGAAAAACAGAAATCAGTTTGTATTACTTTTTGAAGTTGGTGGTTTTTTATTGGCTTAATTACATTTATGGTCCCTCTAAATTGGATTGTCTGATTTGTGTCTGCTATGGTTTTTTAAAGCCTTTCAAGCGTGACTTTAAAAATCAATAAAATTTGGTTCCCTTGTTAGGCTTTTGTACCCAAACTCCTCAAGTTCTCTTTTTCTACTAAAAGTACTTACAAATTGATTTGTACAAAACCTATCAACCAAAATATCAATTTCTCCCAAAATAAAAAAGATCCCAAATTTCTCTTCTTCAGACCCTGGTTCATATCTTATAAAATTCTTCAAATTTCTTTAAGTTTCTTTCCACTTAAACTCATATGTTTAAACTTTCAAAATCTTTCATATCCCAATTCTACCACTCACCTGCAAATATTTGGATAGAAATTAATAATAATTTGAAGTAGAAGGAAATCAATGGGGTGGGGGGTGGCAAATTTGCTTAATTTTAACGATAGATGTAATTATATCCAAAAGAAAATTGAGAAACCAAAATCCCACTCATTCCAAACTAGACTGACATAAAGTGTAACTGAGCTGCCACCCCCCACCCATTTGATACATCACTTTGGCATGAGTTGAATCTAGGAAATGACTTCATACATTTTCTTCCCGGTCTATACAGATGCTTGCCAGAGAAATTATAGAGGATAGTTTACTTTCATTTTTGACACGGGAGGATCCAAATGTTGAACTTGCAGGGGAAGCTATTTCACAAATGGTAATTGTGACTTTTACTTGTTGTATTTTAATTTTCTTTATTTAAACTTTCGGTTTTACCATTAATCTTTTGATGTAGGTGCTTCCAAAGATAACAGTTGGATCATCATCAATGGCCTTATTGGCTAAGACATCCTTAATGGGTCTGTGGTTCTACTTGAGAAATTTTCTCTTTTCAGATGAAATTATGTTAGTTTTTTTATCATAATTACATGNTTGAAGTAGAAGGAAATCAATGGGGTGGGGGGTGGCAAATTTGCTTAATTTTAACGATAGATGTAATTATATCCAAAAGAAAATTGAGAAACCAAAATCCCACTCATTCCAAACTAGACTGACATAAAGTGTAACTGAGCTGCCACCCCCCACCCATTTGATACATCACTTTGGCATGAGTTGAATCTAGGAAATGACTTCATACATTTTCTTCCCGGTCTATACAGATGCTTGCCAGAGAAATTATAGAGGATAGTTTACTTTCATTTTTGACACGGGAGGATCCAAATGTTGAACTTGCAGGGGAAGCTATTTCACAAATGGTAATTGTGACTTTTACTTGTTGTATTTTAATTTTCTTTATTTAAACTTTCGGTTTTACCATTAATCTTTTGATGTAGGTGCTTCCAAAGATAACAGTTGGATCATCATCAATGGCCTTATTGGCTAAGACATCCTTAATGGGTCTGTGGTTCTACTTGAGAAATTTTCTCTTTTCAGATGAAATTATGTTAGTTTTTTTATCATAATTACATGTTTTTAACTTGAAAGTTTTATATTCTGTGCAACATGATTTATTCAGCCAAATACGTATCCAAAAGTGAGGGTAAAAGTTGGACATATCAGAAAGCTAAATCTTTTATCTTGGAGGCTATTGAAATGAATCTTTCATATAGTTTGGAAGAGCTGGAGAAGCTTGCTAATGAAGAATCTGAGACCTACCCTCTTGGTCCAACTGTAGCACTTACCTATCTGTCAGTTTTGAAGGATTGTGAAGAACATTGTTTGAATGAAGGTTCTGAAGTCAAAAGGCTTGGGGGACTTCATGTGATTGGTACATCTTTACATGAGTCCCGGAGAATAGATAACCAGGTGGGTAATTGCTAAGACCCTCTTTTCAGAATTAAGAATTTCAAAGCCTAACAAGAGACAACAGTACACAAGGAGAAAAAAAATTCTGAATTACCTCTAGTTCTGAAAACTCATTACTAGTCAATAACGATGGTAGCCAATATCGATGGTATACAAACACCTCTCAAAGGATATTACTCCTTGGCACCTTTCTACCAACGTTATCTTCATTTATAGGGAAAACTGAATAAACTAACTCTTCTAACTTCCTGTTTCACTGGTACCCTTTTACCCCTTATTTTTTCATCATATAACCCACGTTCAAACCCTTTTCCCTTGAAGTTTGTTGCTCTGACTGGTCCTTACAGTACTTAGCATGGTAAAAGTGTAACATTCCAACCTGTTTTTGCTGTATTGTTTGCTTTGTATGATTAATGGGTTCGAGATGCTAAAGTCTATCATTCCTGTGTAATCCTTCTGAAATCCTTTATTTAGTTAGGGAGTAAAGTGTTAAATTGTTTTGAACCGGGAAAAGCTATTTCCCATGAAGAATCCTTACTGTGTGGTGGCTGAATGGGGGTATCAGTTCCTGTGTATTGTGAAGTCTGTTAGAGACATTTGACTTTGGATATGACCATATGTCATTTGGTTGCTATTGTTTTCTGAACTTGTGTATGTGTCTAGCTTCTGCTGACAGACAATTATACTGCAGCTTCTTTGATCTGACTCCTTAACAAATTTCACAATCTATGACTAATTTGGTTTCAGCTTAAATGATATAGTTGCTTGACTGATTTGGCTATATACGGAATATTCTTTTTATATAGTTTACTGTTTGATCATGAATAATGTTAACTTGGCATCAAATTGTTATTTACTTGTATATGCAAAAAACATATAGTACAGTAGACATATTTGTAACATGTAATAAATATTAGTACTTATGCCTCCAATAATATATTATTGGGGCTTCGTGAGAGTTTGGGACAGTATACTGAAGTTCTACTCAGCTAGTTTAAGTACCTCAATGATGGAAAACTTATGGTCTTCTCCATTTATTCGTAAAAATATAATAATAGTATTAATAATAATAATTATAATAATAATTATTATTATTACTACCATCATCCTAGCACTTTTGTTCTCACATCTTTTAATATTATTTTCTCTAGCTGCGTGGCAGAGCAGGGAGACAAGGGGATCCAGGATCAACACGATTTATGGTCAGGTAGTAATAGTAGACTACTCACTTCTCAATCTTACTCGTTGGCAAACTATTGTTTGATTTTTGGGTGCTGCAATTGTTTTTGAATAATATTATAAATGGATGGTGGGTTTGACACTGAATTAATTAAAAGTGATATGTGATCCACATCCAAGCTGAAACTACTCTCCGTAGCTACCATTTTTTACATCTGAAACATGCATCTAAGGTTTTAAATGCCAAACCACACACACTATTATTTTAAGTAGAAGAGAGACAATAACCAAATTCATTGGTTTTCATGTGTCTATACTAGTGGAAGTGTGTAACATAATGTATACATGGCAACAAGGTATTGGAGAGTATAATAGTGTTAGAATCTTGTGGTTGTAGATATGTTTGAATCCTATAGATATAGTAATTAATGATATAATTATCAATTGATGATATTCGGAATATTATGTAATTTTTTTCTCCTCTATAAATTGAATAGCTCCAATGTGGTCTAAACAAACAAATTTCATCATACACATTTTGATAAGACTTTTAAGGTGTATGTTGGAAAAAAGGTTCAAAATTAGAAGTTACAAAACAGTTAACAGTAGTTGGACAGTTTATGGGTGGTTAGAGGAAGTTATTTAGTCTAGTAGGGGTTATCTTTTAAGGAGGAAACGGCTCCTCCTGCAGGGGTGCGTATTTTCGTTTTAGAACAGGGCTTGTCCTTTGCAGAAGGGATTTTCTTCCCTTGGAAGCTGTTGAATGTTTTTTGTATTATGTTTTTCCTAATTAAAGTGTGATCATACATTGTGCAGTAAGATTTGTGTGATAATTTCTTAAACCGAATTTGAAATCTGGTTTCTTGTCTCCAAGAAACCTAACACATTCTTAATTTCTCTCTTCTCAACATGGTATCGAATCTAACAAGAAGGGAATCCTAGTTTGTGTCTTTCTCGTGGACCCACTGCCACTGCTCTTGGGTGTTAAAGTTTTTGAATTGAAACCGTGTATGTTTTCCAATTTCTCTTTTTGTTACGATCTAAGGTAGGGGTAATAATAAGGGTTGGAAAGTATATGAGCAGAGAGAATATTTAGTATAAGTTAATTAGAGTAAATAAATATAGTATAAGTTAATTAGAGTAAATAAATATATATTTTGGGAAATATTCAATATAAGATATTTATAATTAAGGATATATGCTAGGATAATATACGGAGAGATATTTATATTAAATATAGGGATATTTATATTAAATATTAGGTTTAATCATTCACGAAGTCCTTTTTTCGCGTGGAATCTCAATTTAGTCCCTTTGTTTTTGGAAATCTCAATTGGGTTCCAAATTTATGAAAATTGCAACAATTGGATCCTTTCCGTTAAATTGTCTTCAACGGCGTTAGTGTGTGTCTGACGTGGCACGTTGTAGTCAGTTTCTTAACTGACGTGGCTGACTGAAGTAGGACAGCTGAAGCACGTGAATAATTCAGTGTTTTAAGTAAAAAGAAAATGAAAGTTTTAAAGCAAAATTGGGATTGAGAATGTTATTTTATCGAATTAGGGATTGGGATTCTTTTGAGTTTTTCTAGGGTTCGTCCAAAGTTCAATCCAGTTCAGAAATTGGGGTATCATTTTGGGGATTTAGGGTTTAATCCAAGTTGACAGAGTGTGCAGTTGTCGTCGTCGTCGGAGTTGTGGGACTTTCTTCAGTTTTAATACAAGGGGCGCATCTCTCAATTTTAATTTACTCATAGATGTGAGAGTGAAGGGAGAATCCAAATTCGGATTTTTGAAACGGGATCGACGCCCGTTGAACACCTTGACTCCATTTCTATTCTTCTTCACTGAGACACACTCATCGTATAACACACGCCTCTCCATCGTTGCTCCCCACCGATTCACGAAAGCCTAATTTCGGTAGTTCCTGTTCCGGGGGAGCGAAGAGCTAGGGTTGGATTGAGCTGAGGTAGCAGCAGATGCAGCAGCTCCTCCTCTGAGGGAATGGAAGGTGGCAAGAGAATTAGTGTGAGCCCTCAACCTTGCTGCGGTCGAAGGATCGTTGCTGCCAAGAAGAGGCCGCGTGTAGCGGATGGCTTCGTCAACAGCGTCAAGAAACTCCAGGGACACGAAATTGCAGCGTGTAAAATCTCTTGATGGATCTGATTTTAAATTCTTTGCAACAGTGTTGTATAGGGCCTTTACCATACTTTTTAAGTCACAGTCTTTAAACAATTAAGCAGAATCATGTGTTGTTCTTGGTAATTTGTAAGAATTCAAGGCCTGTATGCTACTGGGGGATTGAAGGTTTGTATGTTGGATACAGAATGACTCAGTTGACTGTTCATAACATAATTTTTGTTTTTGGTTTACTTAAAAAATTGAATTATCCACGAGCTGCCCTACTTCAGTCAGCCACGTCAGTTAAGAAACTGCCTACAGCGTGCCACGTCAAACACACACTAACGCCGTTGGAGATAATTTAACGGAAAGGATCCAATTGTTGCAATTTTCATAAATTTGGGACCCAATTGAGATTTCCAAAAACAAAGGGACTAAATTGAGATTTCACGCGAAAAAAGAGAATTCGTGAATGATTAAACCTAAATATTAAATATAGGGATATTTATATTAAATATATTCTAGAGAAATATTTAATAAGAGATGGGCGGGAAATAATTAGTATAAATAAAGTTAGAGTCTAGGGTTAAAGACATTCTTTTGATTATTGAGTTTTGTGACAGACATTATTGTCTTGTGAGGGAGGTTATGCTCTCAAAGTAATTGAAGGAGGTTATGCTCCCAATTATTGTTTACCCTTGTTTATTCAGATATTACCATCAATAAAAGAGATTCATTCATCCAATATCGTTCGTTTATTGTTCTGTTACGTGTGAGAGAGTGTGAAAGGTTATATTGGGTTAGTTTACGTACCCAGGTCCGTAACACTTTTTCTCTTGCTGTCTTTTATTGTTCGTTGTTGTCAGCGTCGCCTTTCTTTACTGACAAGGTTTTGGCAAGCTCTTTTTGGCTGACAATCACAACCACTGGCATTGCCTTGTTGTGGACTAACCCTGACAACCTCTCTTCCATAGAATGACCCATGCCCTCATCCCCCTCACCCCTCTCACCATATTTCACTCTCTGCTGCCACCTCCACTGAACATGTCAGCACATCCGGCTATGTTTCTAATAGATATCTTTGTGACCAAACTCACCTAGCTATGCTGGTTTTTGATTTGTGGTCTTTCTCCCATTCCACATTGTTTGGCTAATATCCTCTGTTTGGCTGAGTATTCTTTGTTTGACTATTTTTCACACTATTTGACTTTTTTTCTCCCTCTGAGGCTGATTTATGAAGACTACGAAACCTAATGCATCAATTTTCACTAACTTTGTGGTTGTCTTGCTATCTACTTAATAGACTGGATTGCAATAATTATGATTCCTGGTCCTCAAACATAAATGTTGGCCATCAAGGTTATCTTCACCATATCACTAAAGAAGAAATTGTGGTTGAATTGAAAGTACCCAGCCTAAATGGAGTAACATTGATGCTCAACCTTGTTGGGTGTTGTCTACTATTCATTCCTCAATCAAATATATTTTTTTCACTCCCACGACAAGTGTAAATTGGTTTGGACACGGGCCAAGTCAATTTATGCTAATGATATACAAAATGTCTATCGAGTATATTAGCACCACATGGATGCGGTTGTGGCACAGACACTTCATGGAACCATGTCAACCTATTGAGGTTGTCTAAATGGTCTTCATGATTTTAATGAACTTTTGTCATTTTCTGCCCTTGCCAAGGAATTGGAGAATCTTCGTTGCCTTTTTGTTTTGCTAACTTTGTACGGTTTATCTGTAGAGTACTCCTAGGTTCAGATTAGATTTTAGGATCCCCTTCTGCCCTCACTAAGTCTACTACTCGGTCTTCTTTGCTTTGCATTCCTTCTAAACCAACCACTGACTCACAATTAATCAAACCTTGATCTCACAAGGAGGTGATCATGGTTGGTGATCATTGGTCATGGTTCAAGTGTGACCATTGCAGCAAAATTTGTCACACCATTGATTTGCTTTGCATGGTTGACCACCTAAAACAACTCATGCAGTAAACTTTTGCTCTTTTTGATTCTATTGTGTAGTCTGCTCCTGCAAAATATGTTTTTGATTGTAACATACTACAACCAATTTCCATGGATGGTACGGGGATCGTTAGGCCTTCGGTTCCATTGCTTCTGTTGCGCACATTAGTTATTCTTTTGCTGACATCTCTAACTCTTTGGGCTTAAGGGCTTTCAATTCTGAGGCCATTGGTTAATAAGTCAGTTCACAACACTTTCCTTTCAAAAATAATTTTGTGGGTTGATATAGTCTGAAAGGAATTGGAAGGCCAAAGTAAAATTTACTTTCTGTCAGCATTTGAAGTTTCTTCCAATATACAAAACAGTTGCTATTAATACACTGTCTTTTTTTATTTAACTATTTATGT